AAAAAAAAAAAAAAAAAAAAAAAAAAAGAAACGAAACTATGTGTCAGTAGAATGGCTGGCACTAGACCCAGATATGTGCCTCCCTCCTTCAAAACAAAGCTGTGCACCTGAGAACTGCGACTATCAGCCTTGATACCCTCCTCAACCAAGACCTTGCTTTTCTCCAGGCCCCCATTGCTGTGCGGCTGGGCAAAGTAGCCATTGACCGAGGAATGGAGGTGAGAGGGTTTCAGGTTGGGATTTGGGTCCACTAATGTTGGTCATGGCCGGGACACAGTGTTTTCAGAACTTAGACAGCACAGCTGGAAAGACCTCAGGAAGGGGACACTTCTAACAGACTTTGACCTCGCTCTCTACCTCAGTTTACCCATCTGTAAATTGGGTAGATGGAAGTTTGGCCAGATATTACTGTTTTCGTTGTATCCTCATCTTTCTCCCCCTGGAAAGAGAGGAGGAGACTGAGGTTCAGAAGGGGTAAATGACTTCCCAAAGGTCTCAAAGAAAGTGAGTAGAAAGACCCGGGTCTGTGTGGCTCCCAGTCCGTGCTGTGAGGTTTGTGCTGGCAGTCAGTAATGTGGCCTCAGGGCAGGGCTTGGGGTGATGCCTTGAGTGTGGCTAATCCATCTGTACACCTCACCTCACCCATCCACTCATCACACACTGAATCTAGACCAAAGCTGGGAACTGGAATACAGAGATGAGTTCAACATGGTCACTGTCCCTAAGATGGGAAGGGGAAGATACAGACACAAATTAAGGTTAATGGTACCACGCTGACACCCCAGAGACATTAGAGCTGTGTGGTCCATTATGATAGCCATGTGTGGCTTTTAAATTAAAGAAATTGTTCAGGCCGGGCGCGGTGGCTCAAGCCTGTAATCCCAGCACTTTGGGAGGCCGAGGCGGGTGGATCACGAGGTCAAGAGATCGAGACCATCCTGGTCAACATGGTGAAACCCCGTCTCTACTAAAAATACAAAAAATTAGCTGGGCATGGTGGTGCGTGCCTGTAATCCCAGCTGCTCAGGAGGCTGAGGCAGGAGAATTGCCTGAACCCGGGAGGCGGAGGTTGCAGTGAGCCGAGATCGCGCCATTGCACTCCAGCCTGGGTAACAAGAGCAAAAACTCCGTCTCAAAAAAAAATAAAAAGAAATTGTTCAGTTTCTCCTTCACACTAATCACACTTCAAGTGCTTGACAGTCACATGTGGCTAGTGGCTACCATACTGGGCAGTGCTGGGTTAAAGAATGTTTTCTGGCCGGGCGCGGTGGCTCAAGCCTGTTAACCCAGCACTGTGGGAGGCCGAGGCGGGTGGATCACGAAGTCAAGAGATCGAGACCATCCTGGTCAACATGGCGAAACCCTGTCTCTACTAAAAATACAAAACATTCGCTGGGCATGGTGGTGTGTACCTGTAATCCCAGCTACTCAGGAGGCTGAGGCAGGAGAATTGCCTGAACCCAGGAGGCGGAGGTTGCGGTGAGCCGAGATTGCGCCATTGCACTCCAGCCTGGGTAACAAAAGTGAAACTCCGTCTCAAAAAAAAAAAAAATGTTTTCTACAGTTGGACTGTGGGAAGGATAAGAATTCCAGAGGAAAAGTATGAGCAAAAGCAGAGAAGGATAAGCAAGCAGCTAGTCCGGATGAGAGTGAGAGAAATACTATGCAAGTTAGAGGCACTGGCGCTGGGCTGTCTGGGTTCAAAGAACTGCTCTTCCACGTACTGTTGTGAATTTGACAAATTGTTTCACCATTCTATGCCTCGGGTTTCTCAGCTGTAGAGTAGGAATAACCCTTGCTATGAAAATTAAGTTTACACACATTAGAAGGAGGCTTTTAAGTGCCAGTCCCTGGGCCCTAAAAGCTGGAGCAATTGCCAGGGGCCAGGTCATAAAGGCTCAGGAATTAACAGGGGTGAAGGGAGGCATGGTGAGGCAGCCAGATGGAAAGGAACGCTTAACTCTGCTCTGGTGAAATATCTCAGTCTGTCTCCTGTTTATCCCAGCACTGTTTCATCACAGTTGTGAATGGTGTTTCTTCTCCAGGAAGGGAATTCCTTCTCATAGCTATCTGCTCATATAGAAGTCTGCAGGCGGCCGGGCGCGGTGGCTCAAGCCTGTAATCCCAGCACTTTGGGAGGCCGAGGCGGGTGGATCACGAGGTCAAGAGATTGAGACCATCCTGGTCAACATGGTGAATCCCCGTCTCTACTAAAACTACAAAAAATTAGCTGGGCATGGTGGTGCCTGTAATCCCAGCTACTCAGGAGGCTGAGGCAGGAGAATTGCCTGAAGCCAGGAGGCGGAGGTTGCGGTGAGCCGAGATCGAGCCATTGCACTCCAGCCTGGGTAACAAGAGCGAAACTCCGTCTCAAAAAAAAAAAAAAAAAAAAAAAAAAGTCTGCAGGCAATAGGGTGGGCTGGTTTCCAGTGTAGGTGAAGATGGACAAGGTCAGACTGATCTAGGGAGCACTTCTTTCTTGCAGGTGGACATTGCCTCAGGGATGGCCATTGAAGGGATATGCTATGCCCAGGTATGTAGCTACCAGCCCATGCCTGCTTGTTAACATAGCCTGGGCCAGCCTACAGGGACTTTTGTCTAGTACGTGACCGATTTAGCAGGTTCCTCCCAACCCAAACAGTCTGACTGCATCCATCCTCCCTCATAAGTCACCTGGAGTGGCTTCAGGAGAGCCACAGTGCTTCTCTCTGGGACTTTTCCCTCAACCATCTAATATACTGAGGTACATCCTGCCCACTTGATGCTGAGAATCACACAACACAGACTTGAAAGAACCGCTTCTTTTGCCTCTGTACCAGCTTCTAGTGTAAAGCCCAGGCTGGAGTTGGGAGGTTAAGGGCTTGGTTGTAGCCTGCAAGCTGTGCTCAATGAACGGGGGGGTGTAAACTTGGGACTGACCTATTAAATCTCTTACTCACAGGTGAGTAAAAAATGCTAATCTCCAGGTTAACAGATATCGAAAATACTGCTAAGGGGTCCTGCAACTTCAGACAACCTACTGTGAACCTGGATTCAAAGCCATGTTTCTTGCTGCAAAGAATTTCTCTTCTCTACTGCACAGCCTCATGTCAGACCACTGCAGAAGGCAGTGAGTTCTCTGGTGGCATGAGAGCAGTGTGCAAGTAGAGGCTAATGCTGATGGGGTGCAAAGAATACAAAGGCTGGCCTGTCTTCCCCAGGAGACAAAGCAGCCACAGAGGCTTGTATCTTTACATGGCTCAAGACCAGAGTCCAGAGACAATGGAAACACCTGGACCCATGCTTTGTCATGGGTTGGACAAGCTTAAGCAACTCTTTTTGGGCCTCTGACCCTGATCCCCCAAAATTAAGTATTCTGTACCTTGTTGCAGAACATTCCAACCCGGGACCGGCTAGAGGGCATGGCAGCCTTCAGGGAGAAGCGGCCCCCGAAATTTGTTGGTGAATGACCCCCATTTAACCTTCAGCACGGGAGATGCATGCCCTGAAGAGCAGGATCCAGAAGGAAGATTTGCAGCTGGACTGCCCTCATCATTTCGCCTCTCCAGGCTTCCATTTCTTCACAAGGATGATGATGGAGATAAAATGGCTGGCGTGATGCCTAGAACCAAGGTGCTGACCCTACCACCTACTGCTACCCTCCTTATCTTGATTAGACATAATCAATAGGGTTGGATTTGCTTTGGAATATGCCTCTCTCTACTTGAATGATAACGAATTAAAATAGATCCCTCTGGGTCTTGGTATTATTGGCTCTCAGCCCCTGACCTCTCTCCTCTCAGTTATCAGGCACTCACCAGAGATGTCAAGAGATTTTAAGATACTCCTAGTTTCTCCCCTTGGACCATAGAGGTAATAAACAAACTCTGACACTGGTTGACCATGCAGACTGCAGATCCCAGTCTCAGCTAGTCACTTGCTGTATAACCTTAGACAAATTGTTTCAACACTCTGGGCCTCAGCTTTCTCACCTACAAAATGAAACTTGTGAAGATTTAGCAAAATAAAAACATCTCATTCAATAAGTATGTTGTAATTGTTAACATACAATGTTTGTGAGAACCAAATGAAATCATTACTGTGAAACCCTTTTGTAAACTATAGGATGGTAGAAAAATCTTTTTTTTTTTTTTTTTTGAGACAGGGTCTTACTCTGCTGCCCAGGCTCCAGGCTGGAGTGCAGTGGTGCGATCTCAGCTCACTGCAGCTTCCACTTCTCAAGCTCAAGCAATCCTCCCACCTCAGCCTTTGGAGTAGCTGGTACAGGCACATACCACCATGCCCGGTTACTTTTACTAGGGAAAAGTAACTGGCATAGCTGTTCCAACACAAGCTCCCAGGCCTTCCCAGAGTCCACGGTTTGAGTCTTCAAAATTGCTGCTGAAAGGGCGTCCTCAGAGTAAGTCCAACTTGACTTGGGATTACGGCTATCATACAAATCCAATCTTTTGTAATGTATATAAAATACAATCAACAATGAAAGGCCAATGAGACGGCCAACTCACAAACTCCAACAATAACTGGTTTCAATATTCAACTACTGCCAGGGCAGAACACCTGACATGGAGAAAGAGAGCACATCTCTGAAGTCCCTGAGGAGCAGAAGGGCATTCAACACAGTGAGGGCCGCTGGTAATTCATGAAATGCATTCTGAAGTCATCCAGAATGGAGGCTGCAATCTGCTGTGCTTGGGAGGTTGCCTCACTGTGCTCCTGGATATCACACAAAAGCTGCAATCCTTCTTCTTCAACTAACATTTTGCAGTATTTGCTGGCTGAAAGAAAATCAAACAGAGACACTCCATGGACAACTAGCATTTTAAATATTCCACTGTCACCACATTCACCTTTCTGAAGAAAGAATACAAAGGTTTAAGCCCTTTGGCCCTGGAATTAACAGATAAAATGAGTCCATTCTAAAGAAGTATGTCAAAACTTAAATAATGCTCAGCTCATATGATGAGATAACAGATGCTCATTTTAGTATTAGTATGTTTACTTCCAGACAACTCTGTGCTTCAAACATCTTTTTTTGATTTTTGGGGTAGAGTTTTGCTTTTGTTGCACAGGCTGGAGTATAGTGACACAATCTCAGCTCACTGAAACCTCTGCCTCCCAGGTTCAAGCAATTCTCCTGCCTCAGCCTCCCAAGTAGCTGGGATTACGGGTGCCCACCACATCTGACTAATTTTTTTGAATTTTTAGTAGAGATGGGTTATCACCATGGTAGTCAGCTGACCTCAGGTAATCCACCCACCGTAGCCTCCCAAAGTGCTGGGATTACAGGCGTGAGTCACGAGGCCTGGCCCAAACATCTTTAATCGTAGTTAAATGATGCTGAAAACACCAGATGGTAAATAAAATTCATTAAAAAAAAAAGGGGAGGTGAGGTGGGAAAAAATGTATATACATAATTCATAAATTTTTAAATGCATAGACGAATGTACAAACTAAAGGAATTCTCTGGGAGCTGGAAACAAAGAGCACTTCAGCTAATGTAAGCTAACCTGCAGCTAAGCCTGCGGCAGAAAGAAACTGGTAGTTTTAGTAATCAAGGCATTTAAATTTCAGCTTGCTGAGTTCGAAGCAAAATCCATGCATAAAAGTAGACCCTTGACGGGTTAGATAAGAGAAGGGATAAGATACTGAAGCACCTCTGCTGTGGGCTGGGCTCTAGGGGTTTATGGGAGTAGGAGAGGAGAACTCTTTCCTGAAAGCTCATGACCACAATCCCAAGTGGGTAATAGGGTTTGAATTTACACTACCTGAATGTTGCTGAGAAATTAATATATTCAGTAGCACAGTCCTAATAAAAATTATTAAAAAATTAAAAAAGAAATTAATATAAAAAAACTAGCACAAGCCTAGGGAAACCTCTGGAGCATTTCACAGAAGCAAATAACCGCTGAAGGGACATGTCAATCCATTCTAAAATGAATTCTGACAGAAAAACAAGCCTTGCTGAAGTTGACTTCATAATCTAAAACTGCTCTCCTCAACATACACAAGATCACATAGACCACAAATTACTTGTAAAGAAGAAAAAATATGAATATTTGAAAAAGAAGCAAATAAAATGTACAGACATACAAAAATGTATCACTGAAATTAAAGACAGTCTAAGAGCAGATTTAGACCCAGTTGGTCAGGTGCGGTGGCTCATGCCTGTAATCCCAGCACTTTGGGAGGCCAAGGTGGGAGGATCACCTGAGGTCAGGAGTTCAAGACAAGCCTGGCCAACATGGTGAAACCCCGTCCCTACTAAAAATACAAAAAATTGGCCAGGCCTAGTGGTGGCCACCTGTAATACCAACTACTCAGGAGGCTGAGGCAGGAGAGTCACTTGAACCTAAGAGGCGGAGGTTGCAGTGAGCAGAGATCACGCCGCTGAACTCCAACCTGGGCAACAAGAGTGAAACTCCATCTCAAAAAAATAAAAGACTTAGACCCAGCTAAAGAGAAATAGGATGGGCATAGTGGCTCACGCCTGTAATCCCAGCACTTTAGGATGCCTGGGTGAGAGGATCAAGGCAATGTAGTGAGACCATGTCTCTACAAAAAATAAAAAATTACTGGGTGTGGTGCTACACACCTGTAGTCCCAGATACTCAGGAGGCTGAAGTGGGAGAGTCACCTGAGCCCAGGAGGTTGAAGCTGCAGGTGAGCTGTGACTGTGCCACTGTACTCCAGCCTGGGTGACAGAGTGAGACTCTGTTCCAAAAAAAAGAGAAAAAGAAAAATTACCTATCAAGAAATGATAATTAGGATGACAGTGGACCCCAAAAGCAATGATAAAAAATAATGGAGGCTGGGCGCGGTGGCTCAAGCCTGTAATCCCAGCACTTTGGGAGGCCGAGGCGGGTGGATCACGAGGTCAAGAGATCGAGACCATCCTGGTCAACATGGTGAAACCCCGTCTCTACTAAAAATATAAAAAATTAGCTGGGCATGGTGGCGTGTGCCTGTAATCCCAGCTACTCAGGAGGCTGAGGCAGGAGAATTGCCTGAACCCAGGAGGCGGAGGTTGCGGTGAGCCGAGATCGCGCCATTGCACTCCAGCCTTCCAGCCTGGGTAACAAGAGCGAAACTCCGTCTCGGAAAAAAAAAAAAAAAAAAA